AGACCTGGTCACCCCTAACTGCTCTCCTCTGGAAGCCTGGTCCCACCCAACTGTCCTTCCCTGTAGGCCTGGTAGCCCCCAACTTCCCTCCTCTGCTGACCCGGTCACCCCCAACTACCCTCTTCTGCTGGCCTGGTCACCCCCAACTGCCCTCCCCTACAGGCCCAGTTGCCCCTAACAGCCCTCCCCTACAGCCTGGTCACCTTTAACTGACCCAGTCATCCCTAACTGCCCTCCTTAGCCATTCTGATCATCCTTAACGGCCCTCCCCTGCAAGCCTGGTCCCCTTCCCCCATCTGCCTGGTTGCCCCTAACTGCTCTCCCTTGCTGTTCTGGTCACCCCTAACTGCCCGCCCCTGCTGACTCAGTCACCCCTAACTGCTTTTCCCTGCAGGCATAATCTCCCACAACTGCCCTCCCCTACCAGCCATCTTGTGGTGGCCATCTTGTGTCCATATGGGGGCAGCCATCTTTGACCACATGGGAGCAACCATCTTGTGTGTTGGAGTGACAGTCAATTTGCATACTACCTCTTTATTACATAGGATGGTATATTATCTTTTTTATTGTTTCTCAGTTGTAATTAATGTTGTTGCCTCTTCCCCTAGCTCCTCCCTTCATTTTATTTAATTTATTTATTTTGTATGTGCTTTCAGATTTGTTCCATTGAATATTAGGTTAAATGCAAGGTCATCTTTGAATGGTAAACCATTTGAGATGAGGATAATAAAGAGTCATCAAAATAGATCTCAAAGCAGAATTTTAGCTATAGATGCAGAAATTGTCAGGGTGACCAATTTATAAATGCAGACATAATTATGAAATATATAAAAGATATTTTATAAGGTCACAGGCTCATCTTTATCTCAGACCAGATTTTTTAAATAACTTTAATAAAATCTGATGAATCAAAATTTGATCACCATCACCCAGATGAACCAGGTTTAGTACTGAGTCCATCTTGGGACATATATAAAAACATACACTATTTCATGAAATAGGCAACTAAAAGCATATTTATTTTCTGCTTTTGTTTTACATCATTTTTCATTCTATGAAATATACAACAGTGAGGCTAATTGACTAAACCCAGGAGAGAGATGGCACCAACCCCATGTGTTTAGAGAAAGGAGAAATGGTCATGGCCAGGAAAGATGGACACTGTCATCCCTGCCTCCTCCTGCTCCTCAATGAATCACTTTGCCTCTCCCCAGCAGTCATCAGTGGGTGGGCCAGTCTCCAAGCCAGTCTCATTTGTGTCATCTGAAATGGTCACAAGAGGGTAGGAATTTCTCCAATAGACAATGGGTTAGACAGGATGTTTCTATCTATCCAGCAACCCATAATCTTCTGTATTCTCTCAGAAGGCAGAACCAGGAAAGCAACCAGGATCAAATATAGTTCCTGATAGTTCCTGATTCATATGTAAATGATGATTCTCATTTAAAAGAAAGAATAAAGGGGTTTTCTGGTTTAATCACCTCCTTTTCACCCCATTGAGGAGGGTGGGATGTCTACCACATAGTTTGGGGGACAGCAGGTAATGGCACCTGTCACTGGACAGATGGATTGACAGATGTTTATTAGTTGCATATACTCCTAAACCAAGGAAGGAGGGCAGTGCTAGCCATGCAGGCCTCACCAAGGTTTCCCCCAGGAACAGAGGGAACAACAGGGGTTGTGTAGAGTGGGGTATCCCCTGGTTTCCCTGGGAGGTTATGGCATGCTTGTTTAAATAATTTCATGGCTGACAGGGAACTGAAACCTGTTATTCCAGGCTGAGCAGGGTTACATGTGGCTCCTTGACAAGGAGCATTGTTTAGCTGTGGGACCTTATCCAGGAGAGCAGATTCGGGAAGGGAACTTGCAGATAGGCTGTTCAAGGCCTCAATTTTATCTTCTCAAATGTCACAGCAGCACATAATATTGAACTTTAATGTTAGTCCTTACAATGCATTTTCTTGGTTAGGAAAGGGCTCAATCACAGGCCAGCTATTTCTCATGAATACATGTTTGTATATAACACAGTTTATCTTCATATCTGCTCTATAAATTTGGTTGGGTTCAATGAGTAGAAGTTATGCCACAGGATTTGGATGGCAATACTATCGAATTTTATCTTATTCAAATGAAATTAAACATGGTTAAAGGCCACATATTGAGACTGGTGAGAAATCTAGTATCAGTTGTTTAAGGGGGTCCCTTCATATTCTGTTTATAGAACAAAGCAATTACCACTCTCTCTGGCCATTCAGTGATGGAGCCTCCCCACCTTACATGCCACACTGAGTCAAGGGTCATCTTCCCAGGGTTTTAGTGCCAAAGAGCTCTATCCTCCCTGGCACGAACTTGTCATCTGTGCCTGTGGTCTTACAAATTCAAAGACACTGTCACAGGGCATCCCTGGTGGTCTAGTGGTTAGGATTCGGCGCTCTCAAAGACACTGTCACAGGTCCAGGGGACCTCCAGTTACAGAACCCACAGTCCAGGAACTCCAACCAGGCCCTTCAACTCATGAGGGACCTTCAGTCAAGAAAATAGGATGTAATACTGACTTAGGAGTTTATTGCATCTTATCAGTTTCTCAATAAACCACCTTTCCTTGTGTCATTTTAGTCATTCTGGTTCAGATAAATCATTTTGTTCCAGGACCTTGTTTTAGTTTCAAAGTAATACAATGGTTCACATTTCTATAAAAATCAAGCTCTTCTTTTGTAGCTAGTCTTTCTGTGTTAGAGAATCTGGTTTGTTTGAGTTTTTTCTTTGTTTGTTTGCTTGTTTTTATTTATTTTTTTTAAATATATTTTATTGATTTTGTACAGAGAGGAAGGGAGAGAGATAGAAAGTTAGAAACATCGATGAGAGAGAGTCATCGATCAGCTGCCTCTTGCACACTCCCTACTGGGGATATGCCCGCAACCAAGGTACATGCCCTTGACCGGAATCTAACCCGGGACCCTTCAGTCCCCAAGCCAACGCTCTATCCATTCAGCAAAACCAGTCTTGGCTGTTTGTTTGTTTTTAAAATATATTTTATTGATTTTTTTTTTCAGAGGGGTAGGGAGAGGAATAGAGAGTTAGAAACATCAATGAGAGAGAAACATTGATCAGCTGCCTCTGGCACAGCTTCTACTGAGGATGTGCCCACAACCAAGGTACAAGCCCTTGACCGAAATCAAACCTGGGACCCTTTAGTCTGCAGGCTGATACTCTATCCACTGAGCCAAACCAATTAGGGCATAGAGACTCTGGTTTTATAGGAAAACCTTTTCTGGTCACACAGGCCACTCTTCCTAACTTCACCACAACCAAGAATTTTTTTTCTGAAATGTCCACTCCATGCAGTTGGTTCACAGCTCAGGGGGAAACATAACTGTCCATGCAGGTTCCCACAGAAGCAATGAGTTCCAGATTCCCACAGCGCTAGTCTTTAAGGTCTCACTGGGGAGACCTTGTTTTACCAAGGTCTACAGACATTGTTTTACCTTCTAGCCTGAAAACGCAGTGAAATGCAAGATCTGTTGGGATGAAGGAAAGCTCTTCAAATGCAGTTTTTGTCTCAGCTTCTTTCATGAGTACTGTCACATCCCACCTGTGGATCCTGAGAGGTTTGTGAGATGCACACCGTTCTCCTACTATGGACCTTCTTCCTATCATACACACTCCCAATGCAAAGTCTCTTTTTGTGTCCTGATGGGGAAAGAGCAGGGTCAAAAATACAGTGTCCAATGATATGATGTGCGAGCTGTTTAAAAATACTGTGAGCAAGAGGGTAGTATTCCCCTCACTCCCCTAGGAGGTTGAAATGGGTGGCTGGGTCTTTTATCTACATACCACTACTGTCCTTTCCAGAACTTTTCCACCTTGGACTCCTGTACACAGGAGGGCCAGTGCCAGTTATTTGTGTTCTGTGCTTATTCAGAAAAGGCAGCAAACAAGGACATTTTTCCTCATTTTGCCATGTTCTCAAGAGGCTAATAGAGACACAAGGGCCCGAAAGATTAAGGCCCGCTCTCTGACACTCAGACTTGGTGGAGTTCTTTGTGCTCCCAGCATCTCAGAAAGTGAAAGGGGATCCCATCACTCCCCCAGAAGCCATCCTCCACCCAGTAGACCCCTGCTGTTACTCCAGGAACCAAAGTTATCACATGAGAGCCCTGGATATTCTGGGAGGTGACCCTTGATTCCCTAGCTCTGCTCATCAGCTATTCCTGGAAGGAGACCATTTACAACTATGGGAACGGAGGTGTTTCTGGGCTTGCCTTACTCACTTATATCTGACATTTCAGTAAGGATTGGATATGTACCTTCTGCAAAATAAAAGTGCCTTCAGAAAATCCACAACATGCCAGGTATGCTGAGATCATAGCGAGACGGATGGGGCCCAAAGAGAAGTCGGTGAGTTGGACTTGATTCAAAACATCTCCTTTCTACTCACATGAGAAGTCCAACAGTCAGGGGTGAGGGCAAGGGTTGCAAAGGGAGCCTGCTCTTCTGACCATGCCTCTACCACTCTGAAAATTCACCAGAACCTGTTTGCAAAAGTAAAAAGAAAAAAACAACTACTCAGCTGCATGTTACTGTCCAAGAGCAATCCCTGTTTGGGGAAACTTCCAGAAGTCTACTGTGATCATGCATCTGTCGGGGCATGCATATGGGCTCATTCTCGCCAAACTGCTTTTCATTCACAATCTCCTTCTTTTGCAGAAATGTGTGTTCCTCCTCCTAAAGCTCTATTGTCATTTAGAGAAAAACATTTTTCAGAATATTCCAGATGAACATTATGTGAGTAACAACAACAAACCATGATTTCAAACTTCTGTAATGTTACCCCACCTTGACATGGTCACTGTGAGAACTGTGATATGAAGCCCATGTGTGGGAAAGCATGTGACCTGTCTTTCCATTTACCTTGTATTTCCTCTAGATGTTATAAAAATTTACAGAATGTAGACATTGAACTTTCTCAGTAATGCTTCTATTGACATATTTTTCACCAGGTTCAAAAGGCTTCTCAATGCCTACAGACACTTAGGACATTGGATGAAATCAAGAATAAACTAAATGGAGGATGTTTTACCAAAGTGAATGGGTTAGTGGTTGACATGAAAAAAATCTGTCAGGATTCTAAGGTAAGTGGCTCTCCCTACATCCATTTCATTGAGTCACTCTCTCTGCATTTCCTGATACTGGGAGGTTTTAGAGTTTCCATCATCCAATGGCAAACCTATACAAGCAAGGATTCAGGGAGTGGCTGGGTTTTTTAATTGAGGATTTAAGCTCACCAGAGAGAGCAACAGTGAATAAGGAGTTGTCCCTGCAACCAGACTCCAGGCACCTGAGAGCTCATTTCTCTCCTCAAAGGTGACAGGTGCCCATTGAGAACAGTGATGCCCTCCCTGTTCCAAACCTAAGGAGAAAATTACTTCCTAAAGTCATGTTATCCTTTTTATCTCTCCCTCAAATATACTCAATTAGACCTCTCAGAGGTCCCAAACTGCAGATTTCTTTGCATGTAAATGAACCATATAATATATCACCAGAGGGGAATAGAATTGACAATGTAAAAGGAAGATCATTGATTATACATCTGTAATATTTGATTATCACTAAGGCCTTAAATTACTTTTCTAACTTTCAATAAAAGAAGCAAACCAAAGCCAATGATTAAGAACCATCTGTGTAGTTATGATTTCCCATTTCTGCCTGGACCACAAAGCTTAATCATGCTCTTAGGAAACAAAAGGTACTCTTAGGTGGTTAAGATTTTTGTTTTGTTGTGTTTTTTTAAATATATTTTTATTAATTTCAAAGAGAAAGGGAGAAAGAGAGAGATAGAAACATCTAAGATGAGAAAGAATCATTGATCAACTCCTTCCTTCATGCCCCACACTGGGGAAAAAGCCCACAACCCTGGCATTTGCACTGACCAGAAATAAACCATGACCTCATGGTTCATAGGTGGATGCTCAACCCAATGAGCCATACTGGCCGGGCTTAGCTGCTTGAGTTTTTGAACTTAATCTACTTAATGTAACTTAGGTGTTTAAAATAAGAGTTCTGATCATTTTCCATTGCACATTGTCTAATAACAACGATGTTGTCATTATTTCTGTTTGTGTGTGTTTTTCCCCCAGCACAATGACTCAGTTCTAACAGAAGAGGAGTTTGAGAAAATTTTCAAAGAAGTCTTTTCTATTCAGTAAACAAATCAGAAGAGTTCACTGGTAGTGGATGCTGTTGATTCCCTGGAAAATTCTGCTTTCAGGCAAATTTCTCATCCCCAGCTGCTACGAGCATTGGCTGCTTATGCCATCTCCCCCCAGTGTATCAATATGGGCCAAATGGAGACAGATTCCCTCAAATGTTAAATCTCTTTGTGCTGGAGTTGGTTCCCAGCACCAAGGTTGAACCAGCCATGTGGAGTGATTCGTGTTCCTGTGCTCCCCATGGTTGAGCTAGTCTCCAGCTATGACCACATCCTTGCTTTGCATTTCCCAGCACAGTGTTCTGCTTCCCTTATCCCACCATCTCCTGAGAAAATTCTCACAATAAATCAATGACTAAAGAGACTTTGTCTTAGGCTTTGCTTTCAGGGAACCCAACTTCACATTATGATCTAGCAAGCCAGACCTAAGCTTGGAGCTCTGAGCTGGATCACTGTCTGGCCATCTGATAGTTCATGAGGTACTAAAACAGTGCAGTTGCAGAGCACATTCACCTGTATAAATGAGATATTGGGAAACGGTATTGAAGCAATTGTCTAATATTTACAAAGAAATAGTAACTATAAGAACAGTGTGAGAAGATGGCTATTTCTTTTTTAAAAACTATTATACATATCCTTTTATTAGTTTCAGAGAGAGGACAGTTGAGTGAGAGAGATATAGAAACATCAATGATGAGAGAGAATCATTGTATGACTACCTGCTACTGGAGATTGAGCCTATAACACAGGCATATTCCCGGAACAGGAATTGAACTATGGCTCCATGCTCAACCAGAACCACACCAGCCTGGCTAGGTGGCTATTTCTAAGCTCATTTAAAATGTTAAAAAGAGTACATGACAAGCTGATATATATATATATATATATATATATTATCAACCATCTGCATCTGGAAGGTACACAATATGGAAGGCCTGGTGCAAGTCCTAGTTTTAAGGATGACAGACTTCTGCCAAGCCAGAGTGTCTCAGTTGGTTGAGCATCCTCTTGTGCAGAGAAAGGTTTGCCTCATGGCACATATCTGGGTTATGTGTTCAGTCCTGGGTTAGGACAGGTACGAGAGGCAACTGATAGATGTTTCTATCTCATATCTATATTTCTCTCTGTCTCTTTATCCTCCTTCCTCTGTCTAAGCATGTGCTTGGGTGAGGATTATATATTAAAAAAAGAAGAAGAAAGAAAGAACAACAGAACTTCAGAGAAGACTGAAGACTGAATTCTAAGCTCATGTTGGCCTCATGTGCCCAATTACTGATAAAGAAAGTATCAAGCCCTGAAACTCAGAATGGGCTTTTTAAGTATATGCATCTGAAAACTCTGAACTGTAGATTTTTCTGAACCCACTGTCCTGCAAAAGAGATCCCTGTCCCTGTTGGGAGATAGATCACTTCCTCATCCTCCCCCCCCCCCCCCCCCCGCCTCCATATGCCTAAACTAAAATTTTTAGAGTTCTCTCGGCATGACCAAGCAAGAAATAATCTAGATGAGCCTGCTAGCTGAAGAGATAGTTTACTCCAACAGAACTTCAGGTCTGGGCAACATGTACTACCTGTCACAGCAAGATGAGTCATTTGTGTAATGGGCAACAATAGGTCATCAAAAGACATTACATATTGATGATCAGGTGATTGAAATAGGCATCCCCATCCCTATTTTATATTATAATATAGTTTTTCCAGGATTCACTCCTACACACAATCACTGACCATTGCTGGCCAGCCAGTCCTGCTCCTTTATTTATTTATTTATTTATTTATTTATTTATCTATCTATCTATTTATTTATTTATTTTAAATATATTTTATTGGTTTTTGTTTTGTTTTTTACAGAGAGTAATGGAGAGAGATAGAGAGTTAGAAACATCGATGAGAGACAAGCATTGATCAGCTGCCTCCTGCACACCCAACACTGGGGATGTGCCCGCAACCAAGGTACCTGCCCTTTGCCATGAATCGAACTTGGAACCCTTCAGTCCGCAGGCTGACGCTCTATCCACTGAGCCAAAGCAGTTTCGGCATAGTCCTTCTCCTTTAGAAAGTTAGCCCAGAAAACAGAGATAGCCATGATAACAAGCCTATGGTTCAGGTGATCCATAGAAACAGATCTGTAGCTCTATCTGTAGTGTGAATAGCCCTATCCAATTAACTAATTAGCCTAGCCCCTCACCCATTCAGGCAGTTTAGCAGTAAGCCCAATCATGAAGCAGCCTGTAGTTCCACCCAATGAGGGAGCCTGGAGGTGACTCTGCCCAACATGGAACAGTCTCTATCCCCATCCAATGCAGTATGCCACTGGAGGCCCCTCTAAATTAGAAAATTTGGGCACTAACCATATCCAACATCAGAGAACAGCCAGAAAGTTCACTTATTGTGAAGCCCACCATGTAACAACCCAACTTCAGGGAGCAACCATTGGCATCACCAAATCTCAGATCACAACAATCTAAGGCCTAGTATAGGTGTGAAGCCCTTACAGTAGCCCCAACTGAGCATTAAGTCTAGCCAGAGACACCATCCGGCTAGGGAACACAGCTTGAAACTCTACCCAACAAGGAGCTATTGCAGAGCCCAGCCTGTAACCCTGAAAAATGACAGAGTCCAACTAATGGCACTACCATACCACAAAACACAGCCTGAAACCTCAGTCAACAACAGGTGATAGAAAGGCTCAGCAAGTGCACCCATCAAGCCACAGAGTACAGCCAGCACTTGTGCCTGATCAGGGAGCTCAACCTGCAAATCCACCAAACCACATAGCTCAGCCATCACCCAAACACCAACCTCAGAGCACAGTCACTAGCCTTCTCAACTGAGACCCTGATGACATGCCCCATCTTCCCATGGATGCTACCAGCTATTCCTATATGGTATTCCAAACCTAGCTGACTGATGAAGGCATTTTCTTGGTGAAGTGAACCTGTAAAGTCTGTGAGAGGAGATTGCTTACTTATATGCACTGATACCAACACAAGAATCAAGGATCATGAATAACATTGCACTACAAAAAACAAACAAACAAAAACAAACACTAATAAATTCTAATAACTACCCTTAAAGAAATTATGATATATGTTGCCTGAGAAAAAATTTAGAATAATCCTCTTAACGAAGTTCAGTGAACTATAAGAACCCATAGACAGACAACTAAAAAATAAATAAATAAATAAATAAACCAAATGAGAAGTTTAACCAAACAGAAAAACTATAAAAAGAAACCAGTCAACTAGCAATTCCTGGTCAGGGTGCATGCCTGGGTTGGGGGCTCATTTCCTAGTTGGGGGGTACAGTAGGCAGCCAATCAATGGTTCTCATCATTGGTGTTTCTATCTCCCTTTCTCTTCTTCTCTGAAATCAATAAAAATATATTTTTACATCTAAATAAATAAATAAAACTTGTTAAGTGATAAGGAACAAATTTATTGAAATCAATAAGAATCGCTATTCTGAAATCATTAATTTAGGCAGAAGTCCTGTGTGCATCTTTCTCCAAGTGTATCCCACTGAGTCTCTCCTTGCAGGGACAGTTTAACTGATCCTTTTCCCATGATGGAGCCTCCTTATGACATCCCACTCCTGTCTCAAAACCACTTAGTCTTCATGAAGCTGTAGGGGCCACCTCCACTGCTTCTGTTCTGTTCACGAACTCTGAGGTCCCACCCATGGGTCCTGCAATTAACAGAAGCACCCACTTACAAGCCAAAAGAAGCAAAGGCCACTGCCCAATGGGCATCTCCTGTGTACTGAGTAGAGATAATCAGAATGAGCTAAGTGCACGACTTTTCTTGCTACATATGTTTCACTTGACTTTCCTAAGATTCAGTACATTCACCAACTGGTGGTCTGTGAGGTCCAAAAGGTTGGGGACCGCTGGTTCAAAGAAACCTTTGGAGCAGTGGTCATCAACTGGTGGTCCGTAGCCCACTGGTGGCCCATAAGGTGCGAAAGGGTCACCATTACTAGTAATGGGTGAAGAGCGAACTTGCAGAAATATTAGGAGTGGGATTTCACTGTTGATTCAATGGCTTCCTTCTCTGGTACACCCCAGCTTGTTGTGGTGCCCAGCCCAGCTAACATTCCAGGACTCGCTGGGAGAGCCCAGGTAGAGGTAACTCCCAAGAAACATTCCTTCCCCCTTCCTGAGAGCAGAACTGACACCTACAGCCTTGCTTTTTTCTTATGAGGCAAGTCTGATATGGAAATGCCTGGTCCCAGTGAAGGCAGCAAGATCCCACCAAGATTCCCAGGATTAAATGTGATGAACCCTGTAAAAGGTCAACCTGATTTTTTAGTCAAGCCGTTGGGCATCTGAGTCAATAAGAGTTAGATGAGGCTAAGACATTGAGGTTCAGATCCTCTAGGAGGCAGAGAGCCCTGGTGGTGGCGGAAGGTGAAGACAATCCCCCAAGGAGACAAATTATTTTTTCCTTGTTTTATTTTTTTATTGAATAAGGTATTACATGTGTCCATATCCACTTTTGCCAACCCCACCCCACTCCCATACATGCCTTCACCCCTCAGTGTCTTGTGTCCATTGGTTATGTATATATGCATGCATACAGGTCCATCGGTTGATCCATGGGACTTGCTGGGAGAGCCCAGGTCGAGGTAACTTGAGTGGAATCAGAATTTCTATTGCCCAGAGGAGTGTGTCCCTCTTTGTCTAAGATAACACCCAGCAAGGACTCACAGCAGCTCACACTATCGCCCTGTGGATAGATGGGTTCAGGGTGCCTGCCCATTGGAAATGTGTGACTGTTGTGGTGCATTTGCCAGTGCAGAGCTCTGAGGCACTCTGAGGGGCCCTGGCATTGAAGTTACACAGCTGGGGTGTCTGTGGGCAGTTATTCAGGAAGAGGGAATTCAGAATTTCTACTGCGGGGCAACACACCTTTGTACAAAATACAATAACACCCAGCCAGGGCTCCCAGTGCCTCCCAGGCACTGCCTATGGAGTGGTGTGCCCTGGATGCCTGTGCACTGGGAACACACAAATGTGGAATCTGGAGTTATGCCGCTGGGGAGGGGGAAAGTTGCATTTACTGCTGCTGGAGCAGTGCCCATTTGGAAATGGAGGTCCCAGGGTCCACAGGTCTGTGGGTAGGGCAAAAGGATCATAGCTGTAGTGGCTGCTGGGTCACCGGCAGTATCAAAGGCCTGTGTGGGTAGTGGTGCTGATGAGTTCCTAGAAAAGGCCACTCTCCCCATCTCGATTCTTACCAGCTTTGTACAGAAACTCAGGAGTCCACAGCTGTTCCCTCACTAAACCCAGTCTCTAAGATTCTACTAAGGGGGCTCCATAGAATCCCAGTCCCTAAAAGCTCAAATATTGCCATCAAGTGCCATCAAGTCTATACAACTATGCAATTGGCAGGGCTATGACTCCCCAACTCTTTACCCATCTATGGCACAAGTGGACAAGAACTCAAGGAGCAAGACATATATCCATGTGCTTGACTCCTTTCAAGGTGTTCATGCCCACCCCCACTACCCCAAAATGCATGTCTTTCCACCTGAATTACAAATCAACTAATAGGCAAAAGAGTGATGTAGATGAGGAGCAAAATACCAGCTTTCTTCCTCATAAAAGCTGGGGACATGGTTTGGATGTATGTCAAAAAATAATTCCTCAATCTGAACCCCATAAATGGGCTTATTCACAAGGCCCAAGGCTGCTCCAATCAACCACACACATGCCCCACACCCCAAACCGCTGTCCTGGTACACTGGAGCTCAAAGGATCACAGAGCCCTGACCCCTCCAGCAGGATGAGCCCAAGGAGAAGCACCAAGGAGCAGACCCACCTTCATAGAATTCCCAGCCTCAGAGTCTCCACAGGAGGAAGGGAGGGCAAGGGGGGCAGGAGTCCTGCTGATTGCTGAGCCACTTCCCAGAAGGGGACATTAGTGTGGGGCCTGAGTGCTCCCACTTGGGTCCCAGGGATTCCTCCTCTCCATTTCTGCATCCACAGAGGTGCCAGGTCTTCATCCTCTGGGCCAGTGGCTACTGATATTGTTGCCTCCGATTCCTCCTGCCCCTAAATTCTCGGGTCTGGGACTCTGTCTCCTCTCCAAAGCAAACCCTGTCCCCACAGAGTCTCCCAGATCAGAGACTCAGACCACTAGTGGGTCTGAATGGAAGCTGCTCCTGGTGAAGCTAAGGAAGTCCATTCCCTGGTTGTTTTATCTGCCCCTTGTCCGTTTTCAGTCGCTGCCTCTCCTGCTATCCAGGTTTCCAGGAGCCGTAGCTAGGCTATTTTCATGTTCTTAGAGTCCTTGCTCAAACTAGAAAACTCCTGGGGGCTGGCCCTCCCCCTCCCCTTGGGCTTCCTCCCCTTGCCTCCTAGTCCAGACTGTTCTTTTTGTCCTCCATTCCTGCTGCCACATGTCCTGATGGCTGAGAACTACTGTGGAGCTGCAGAAGGAGTGAGGCATGTCTGAAAACACTCAGAAAGTTAGTTTCACTTCTAATTTCCCCATTTGGGAGGAGCTCTCCCCGGGTGATTGATTGTACACACTTCCTGCTCAGAGCTGGGCAGCCACACTAGACGCAGGCTGGGGACACAGAAGGGCTCCAGGCCCAAAAAGGGCCCAGGGCAAGACGATGGCCAGTGAGAGCACAGACCTCAGCACCAGGTCAGTCTCTGTCTCCCTTCCTTTAACTTTTTCTCAAGTTGTGCTGCTGCGTCAGCGTATGTCATTAGACACTCGTCTAAATCTTGACCTCATCCTGCTTTACAAGACTACTCATGTGCAATGTAATGAAATGCAGGAATACTAGTGAAAGAATCAGATCTTTAAACTGCAGAGGGACAGGTGCTGGTGTGAGTGCTGCCACAACCTACAGGACTCTGTCTTACAGCTACTGCTCAACTATAGGCCATCTGGACTCGGCTGTCCTTTCTGATGCAATTTGTTATTTCCCCATGACCTCTGAACCTTCTCGTTTCCCTTGAAACCCCTCTGCCTTCAGGTTTTTTCAAACAGAGTACTTTAGAAAATATAAAATTCTGGGTGCTTTGGTCTCATACCTGAGCTAAGGACAGGTCAGTGCCAAGCTTATTCCCATCTCTGGCTGGGGCTCTGGACTTTCCCTTCTGAGATCTTGAGCTAAGGGAGTAAAAGAAAAAGAAAGAAAAAGACATGAAAGGCTAGCGCAGGCTGAGTATTTTCCTCTGTACTTTCAATTTCTGCTCTGTAATGGGTTATACCTCTTACAAGGCAAAGGCCAGAAATTCTGTCTTTTTCTCTAGTAAGGGTCAGAAATAACATTACTTAATATGTTTAACCTTTTTTAATAGAAAATAATTACATTTTACATTCCTGCTCGTAAAATTTCAAATGACATGTGTGTTTAGGGGAAAGTCCCCTTCACTTGCCTCCTGCCTAAAGCTGTCAGTCCCGGTCTTTTGAGTGTTGTGGACACAGAATTCCACGTTTCTTTTTCTGTGTTTACACATATAGCTGATTTTTCTAAATATATAATTTGTGTTTTGTTTTTTAACAAAGAAGATTATATTACATATGCTATTTTGCATTGTTATTTTAGTAGTGAAAATATTAAAGAACATGAATGAACATGCAGATCTCCTCCATTTTTTTTTTTTAAACTGCATACTACTCCATGGAATCATTATGGCCTAAATTTTTTAAAGATGTTTTATTGTTTAATTTTCAAAAATTATTTATTGTTTAAAGTATTACATATAGTATTACATATGTCTCCTTTTTCCCCCATTAAGCTCTCCCAGCCACCTACACACATGTCCTTATCCCCCTACTGTCTATGTCCATTGGTTATGCTTAAATGCATACAAGTCGTTTAGTTGATCTCTTAGGTCCAGCCTCCCTCCCCTGCCTTCCCTCTGAGGTTTGACAGTCTGTTTGATGCTTCTCTGTCTCTGGAGCTATTTTTGTCCATCAGTTTATGTTGTTCATTATTTCCACATATCAGTGAAATCATGTGATATTTATCTTTTTCCAATTGGCTTATTTCCCTTAGCATAATGCTTTCCAGTTCCATCCATGCTATTTTGAGTAATAAGAATTCTTTCTTTTTTACAGCAGCATAGTATTCCATTGTATAGATGCACCAGAGTTTTTTAATCCACTTATCTGCTGATAGACACTTAGGCTGTTACCAAATCTTAGCTATCGTAAATTGTGCTGCTATGAGCAAAGGGGTGCATATGTCCTTTCTGATTGGTGTTTCCTATTTCTTAAGCTATATTTCTAAGAAGTCGGGTTACTGGGTCAAATGGGAGTCCCATTTTTAATTTTTTTAGGAAACTCCATACTGTTTTCCACAGTAATATGCCATAATTTTTATAGCATTCTCTTCCATTGACAGATACTTAGGTCATTTCAACAAGCTGTGATAACAACAATTATGTATTTCTTTTCTTTTCTTTTTTTTCTTTTTGTTTTTTTTTGCATGTATATATAATATACTAGAGGCCCAATGCACAAAATTCATGCAAGAGTAGGCCTTCCTTCCCCTGGATGCCCTGCCAGCACAGGTTTCTGGCACCGGGAACATGGGCTTCCCTCAAACCCTGGCTTTGTCTGGAAGGACATCTGGAATGATGTTCAGATTGATGTCTGGTCTAATTAGCATATTACCCTTTTAATATTATAGATATATGAATTTGTATTGTGTCACTAATCAAAAAATCAAATTTTTGAGGCAAAGAATACTAATACTTATGTATTTACATATTCTGCCAAGCTGCCTTACTAAGGAACTGAATCAATATATTCTGCTAGCAATAGTGAATGAGATAAATCATCTCCCAACACCCATTTTCACAGATACTTTAGTTAATTTGAATTTTCTGATTACAAGGGAGGTGGAGGTATTTTGTATCTATTGGTCATTTAAATTATCTCTTAGGTGAGTTTCTGGCTTATTTATTGCCAATGCTATTAGTTGAAGAGATTGTCCTTTCTTTGATGATAAGGGAGGGTTTGTTAAATATTATGAAAGTTATAAATTTACTTCCCTTTTCTTTAATTTTGTTTATGATGACTTCTACTTATAAAGCTTGAAATTTGAAGACTTATAATATTGTTTTTTATAAGATAAATACTCCCTGGTTATCCTATCTAATAAAAGGGTAATATGCAAATTAACTGTCACTCCATCACAAAGATGGCAGTGCCCATAGCCACAAGATGGTGGTGCCCAGTCCTTTCAGCCCAGCCAGAGTCCCCCAGTCCTGGGGAGGGAGGAAAGGGGGTTTTGCTGCTGAGAGCATGAGCGGACTGGAGGAATGCTTGCTTCATCACCATGGCTACAAGACAAGCACTCTGCACCCAGCCATGGATGGGCCTCTGGGCCTTAGGCAGCCTCTGAGTAGCAGTTGCTGAGCAGCCAGGCCCCACAGAAAGCTACTGGCACACGGATTCATGCGCAGGGCTACTAGTTATGAATAAATAGAAGTGATGCTGAAAGTTACTGGTGAATTCCATGCACACCATCTTCAACCATAGTTCTCATGTTCTTAAGGTGGCAGAGTCAACTCTACCTTTACTTTAGTGAAAGTTTCTTCTCTACTATCTTCAAAAATGTATTCTTATATAATTTTGGAACAAAACTATTCTTCCATTGGTGCAACTTCAGCCTTCACAGCTTTATCTGTCTCTAATAAATATTATCTTTCTCTCTTTACTTTCTGTTGTCTCAAATCTTTCTTCTATAAGAGTTATTTAATTTTTAGTTGTTGTTTTGTTCTCTTGTTATATCTAACTAGAGGCCTAGTGCTCAACATTGTGCACCTTGGGAGGGGTGGAAGAAGGGGTCCCTCAGCCCAGACTACACCCTTTCACAGTCTGGAGCCCTCAGGACCCTGCATTCTTTAGGACTGCCGCACAGGCAGGAGAGACTCCCGCCATCACCACTGCACTCACCAGCCATGAGCTTGGCTTATGGCTTAGAGGCACTCCCCCTGTGGGAGTGGACTGACTACCAGGGGTCAGCTCCTGCATTGAGCATCTGACCCCTGGTGGTCAGTGCATATCATAACAACCAGTCATTCCACTGTTTGATCAATTTACATATTACCTTTTTATTAAATAGGATATGTTTTTAAGTTGGTTGTATTTTTTTTGAGGGAGTGTCTTAATTTCCCTCAATAGCTCTACAAGCTCTATTTTTTAATGGTCACAGAACTAATTTTATTTTTTAAGTTTATGCAAACTTGACTGTAAACCCATTGGTGCACAGTTGCTTTATTTAGTGATATTTTAATATCACTTTATTTAGTGATATTAAGTGCTTTGGGGATGTCTTCCTCACCCTCTGGGTTATTCCTCCAGATTGACACTGTCTGCAGTTTGGTGCCTGTGTTGCTTCACTTTCTATTTATTTATTTATTTATTTATTTATTTACTAGAAGCCCAGCACACTAAATCACATGGCCCCGTCCAGCCATGTCTGTCTTTGGCCATTAAGGCATTATGGCCACTGGGTTTTTATCTGTATAGAGTTTTATTTATTTATTTATTTATTTATTTATTTATTTATTTATTTATTTATTAGTTTGTTTATTTTCCATCACCATTTATCCCCTCTATGTCCTCTTTACCTCTAGCCATTCCTGAATACCCTACTCCCCAATCACCACACTTGTATTGCTACACTCTCTGCCCTGGTTTTACAGCCCATTTCAGTCGTGCTTGACTTAGGCAACTCTCCCCTCTTCCCCAGTTTGAACTGTCCTCATCTGGATTAACCATCCTTTTCCCCTCTCTCTGCCTTTCATTACCCAGGGGCCACATAAGCAGAGACTGTTCTGTTCTCTCTCTTCTCTGCCATTGGCACACAAGAGTCTCTCTTTGTTCCTCACCAACTGTCATAGCTCCATATGAACTCTTGACAGTAAAATACATCTCCCCATTTTCTTCCCTTCTTCAAAGTGTCATGACCCTTTGCATCTCCAAATCAGCATGTCTAAATCTTGTTCGGATTTTTTTTAGGATTGTAATGATTCTATGGATTGATTAAAAGAGAATTGTCATCTGTATAATATTGTGTATTCTATCTCATTAATTTGGCATATATATATATATATATATATATATACTGTTAATTAAAAATATTTTCTGACAAAATTTATATTTTTTCCTTCTGGTAGATTTTATTATAACTACTTGATATATTTAGGTTACTAAATCTACACATTTTAAAATGAGAATTCTGGCTGTTTGTTATTACTATATAAAAGTAAATTAAAATTTTGCCAAATTCTTTTTAATTCTAATGACGTTGGAGAAATATATACATATTAATTTATATAATATACTTATAATGACAGTTTTGTTTCTACAAATCTGATCCTTACTAGTACACTTATTATTTCTTTTTCTTGCCTCTGTTAGCCAGGACTTCCAGTATTATGGTTAATACAAGTAATAATAGAAATCATCTGTACCTTAAGCCCAATCCCAAAGGGAAAGCCTTTCTCATTGTACATTATGGATAATGTTTGCTGTGGGTTTTCTTTTTTAATATGGAAACTTGCACAGATTAAAGTTTTGTAGTTGGCATCTGATATTTTCAATGTTTGAGGTGTTTCTCATCCTGTTTTCTACTTTTTCTGCTATTGTCACTTGCAAACATTTTTTAAATAAATTAT